GATTTGAATCCTAAAAATAAATTCAAAAGGCGTCAAAATATAAGTTGAAAGATTTTTGATTTTGAGACTGCTCTAGTTTTTGCGATACTGTACAATAAAAAAAAAAACAAAAAAAAACAAAAAAAAAAACACGGACTCGACAATAAATAAAGTAGTAGTTCTACATCAGTAGGTCGATACATTTCTGGTTCCATTCTACACTTAGATACTGATGAGATTACATTGAAAATAGCCCCAGGCCTACGTTACTAAGATTTTCTATATATGTTCATGCGTCCGTTGGCCGCCGAGAAAACGTTGCGATGCGGGAAAAGTGACACACTTCAAGGTGTGCGCGACTACTAGACTGAACCGGGAAGCAAGAAAGCAATGCCTAAGCTAGGGCCTAAAAAATGAGATGTTATTACAAGGCCTCAGGCCTAGACCTTACAACAAAATTTGTCAGGGTCATACATGAACTAACTCTGGTATGATTCCAATTAATTTCCAATATTTACAGCTCTGTAATTCCTGTAAACCGGAAGAAATATATCTGTGATTCGCACACCAAACCTCGCGATCGCGAAGCTCGCACGCGGGTCTCACTCTTCCGGCAACAAACAGATATGACCTACATTGACCTAAATGTGTATAAGAGACAGGTACGTACCGTGTAAAAGTCTACTTTCAAATAGTGCTGAACTTTTGGTTATAAAAAACACCTTTATGTACGTCCTATTTTGGTAAACTTTTAGTATGTTGTTTTACATATAATTAAGTTTATATTTAGACCATAAACGTTTTGTTGCAATTTTGTCCAGTCAAATCCGTATTTCCGGTGGACTATAGCAAAGATACTAGAAATACAAGATAGAGTTCTCCACACAAAAAAAGTGTTCCACCGTGTTCCACCGAAATGCATGGTGGGAATACGAAAAATGGGACGCCCCTTCAGCTGGATCTAAAAAAACTTGTGCCAAACTTTCGTTACCAAGTCGTCGCGTATTTTATTTTCAATTCTCAACAAAGATACTAGATAGAAAAACAAACTGGAATAGACACCCAGACAGTGACATCGGT